AATTGTGTGAAAGTTAGGATTTTTGTGTTACTTATCATAGCATCCACCCTACATATTTTTAAGTTCATAACACTGGACAAAGGGTGGGTACCTCGGTTTGTTTTCAGTAAATATTATTTAATGTTGGTCAAACAGTAGGGGAGTTTTAGCTTTGGTAAGAGCATACTGTTGGAGAGAAAGCTTAAAGGCTTTATAATTTTTTTTATAAACTTAAAGTTGGAAGAGTAAAAGACTTAGGAGACTGTAAGTGCTGAAGAATGTGTTTGTGCTTTGTTCAGTAGCATGTGGCCATTTAGAATTTTCTTTTAATGTCTTGTTTTATTGCCTTTTTTTTTCTTTTTTGATAGTTTGATCAGATGCTTGTCGAAGTGTGCTAGAAAAGTGCAAATTCACTCCCACATGGCTGGATATCAACTCTTTATCAAATTGTCTGCAAGAATATCTGCAGAATATTTACCGTGAACAATACAAAGTATGCTCTGAATAATTTTATATTAGAATCATGGGTGAATTAATTGCCTCTTAAAAGCCGCACGTAATTTGTCAATCATAAGAGAGAAAAATTGAGATTAATGGCTAATTACTCCTCTGCAAGATTATGTGATGCCAATACAATGAGGTATGGTGGTAGATAGCCTTAGTTGTGTCCCAAACCTTATGAGGTTTATGAAAATAAAACTCATTTCCTGTTTGTATTTATGGGTTATTAAAGACTTTTTTTTTAACTCATTATATAGTAACCTAAAATAATTTAGGTGTGTGTGAATAAAGTATGACATTGCACCTAATTTATTATTTGGTATTATACAGTGGGTCAACTGTTTAATGATTATATTACTGTTTGTTTGTCTGATGTTTGTTTTTGAACTTGATGCAAAGCTACTTAAGAGTTATCTGTGTTTTTCATTAGTTCTCTATTCTTCTTCAGCACTTGAGTTTCGGGTCTCATTTGAAAACCACTACAACTTTTATATGCGATCCTGTGTGATAACTTCTTAATCAGAATTTAAGAGTTATCTGTAATAGTCATCCCTAATTTTTAAGAAGGCAGCTAATCAACACCACCATTAAATTATAATGTATCCCACAACTGTTCGGGGATTGAATTCAAACCCACGACCCTCAAATTGTGGTATGTTACAGATTTCATTTTATCATAAGCGAAATTGAAAATAATGCTCTGTTTGTACATTAAAACATACAATTTCAAAACGTATTTTCAATTCTGTATCAATAGGCCTAACTTTTTATTTATCATAACATGATGAAAACTTTAAGGTAGAGCTACCAACAACACTTTGCATCTGGACTTGTTCTCACTCTCACATGCATTAGTAAAAAACCCATTGAAATTGGTTGATCAGTTAGATCCAGGACAAATTCAACATCACATTGATCCATAAACTTCACCATTTTGTTTCATTGAATAAAACAGTTTCTAGGGAGAGTGCCTTCAGCAATCATAGCACTTTACTGTGAGTTAAACATTTTTTTTCAAAAGTCTCGCTTAAAGAGATTTGAAACCTTATGGACCATTTGATTTGGATCTTAAAGACTATCCATGCACAACCATGTCTGAGAATAAGAGCACTAGAAATTAAACACATTATTTTTCAGGTAATCATAAATTTCTCTTCTAAACTCGTTCTTGTAAGATGCTAACTCCCAATACTACTGCAATGATGGCAAGTTATTCTATAAGTTACTCACCCTATTAGAAAATATAACTGTCTTAACTGGAACCAAGCCTGACTTTTTCCAAATTTCAAACTTGTGTCCTTTCATCCTAATGCTTTCAGGAACCATTAAAAAAAAATTAGGGACCTTTATAACATAAAAGGATATAGCGTATTGGCAGTAATTAATAAATCAGTATTGGGAAAAAGTGAAAATTTAAATTACCCTTTACTTTTGATAGATAATTTGTTCCTCTCTAAATAATCACATGTAAAGTAATGACCTCCACTGCCCTCGTGAGTTTGGTGTTTCTTGAATTAACCAATAGAGTAGAGTAGAAAGCTAGGCCTGCTAATAACAGGAGGATCTCAGGTCTTGGGGCTTGAGATTTATTTGTATTCAAGTTGCAACAGTTACTATATATTTCTGAATTTAAGGTGCATTTTTTTTTAAAGAGTAAGATATACAGCTTGCCTTATATTCACAGCCAAGTTTACATGCTTAGTCAAGGCTGTTGTGAAATATTGCAAGTGCATATTCAGCTTAATGAGTAGTTGAATAGTTTTCCTGAACATGGAAAACCTAGGTGCCATAATCATGTGGAAAAAAGTGTATTTGAAAAGGTTTAGGTATTAAAGGAATTATAAAGAAGTTTCAATGCAAATTTTAAGATCCTTGTTATCAGAGAAGTTGAAGCATCTAACAGTTGTCATACTGCTGTTTCAGTGTCACCAAAGCAATGTTAGATGATGGAAGGGGCAAAAATAGCTGCTACTGAACACTCACTCTAAAAAATATTTTTGTGGACCTAAAGTGGTTAAGGGGCTCAATATACCAGAATGCCAGTTCAAAGTCAGCTATATAAGATGTTTTTATATGGTATCTTACCTTCTATAGATATTCTTGTTAAGTGCTGCCCTCTGTATACAAATTTTTTTCACATGCCACAAGCCTTGAAACTCCTACTTACCCTATGATCCATGTGGTTCACAGCATTTTTGCCTATAAATCATCACACTATAATTCCTCACCAATAGGAGTGTGACACAGCTTCCTGATGCATGTGAATTCCTCTATTTGATTTTACCTAACTATCACTTCTCGTTAGACAGTTATCGAGTGCAGACTTGTTTAACATTGTGTTGTTTTTCATGTGATATTTTCTTTAAGTTTGCGAAGTTCAATTTCTACAGTTTATTCATTGTAGTTTTTTACCAAGTCTATTTCATTTCATTATGGATTTCCAATTACTATTACTAATGCTTTGCAGGTCGAATTTTTGTTTTTCTCTTCTATGTTTATTTTATGCATTTGCCTCTGACTTGATAAGTTATCTTTTTCTATTTATTATTTTCCTTCCAATGGAATGTTCATTTAGGTCTAAGTTCCTGCTCGGTGGGAAACATTGCCTGTCCAGGTATTCTACATATCTAACCAAATTCTGCACTGTATGGCCAACTATAAGACAAACTGGGGTATATTAACTCCCGTCTAGTGCTCCAACCCCATGGAGTGGGTCCCAGGGGCTGATGTTGTGTGGTCCCAAATCCAATCATTCTGCGGACTGTGTCACACAGGACGTGCTGCTGGTGATACATGTGCTCCAGCCTCTGTGCGGTTCTATTCTCAGTTGACTCCTGGCTACTTCTGATACTCCACCTCAGTGGGGATAGACCCTAGTAGATTGATGTTGTCTTCAGGAGGTGGCTGATTTGAACAATCTCAATATATGTACTTATGGCCTGTAACACACACTGTTGAGATGGGGTGATCAACAAGATCGCTCATAGGTTTTTCCTTGTGACATATTTACTTCATAGCTATGCCTGTCCGAACCATATTAACCCATGGACTTTCCTGGATAAAGCAAAAAGGGATAGCTGCTCATCCCTGCTGTACCTTAGACTAAATAAACCAGGGGCAGTCTACTTTTCAAAATAAGGATTTTGTGCACATCCTTGGCATTGTCTCAGGTGTCAGTGTTCCACTGGACTCTACACTGCATCTACCCCTCCAAATGTTCTTCCAGTGGAGTATGAGAGTCCTTGCCACTTTCCATTTTTGAACCACTGGTGTACTGGACCATGGAGGCATCCTCCTGAATGTGATCACCTCCATTTGATAGAGAGTAGGGTGGTGGACCATGGAGGCATTCTCCTGAATGTGATCACCTCCATTCGATAGAGAGTAGGGTGGTGGTTTTCTGCTCGTTTAGATGGTGTTTGGTCTTCCAATCATATGCTCCACCTCTGTGAGGTGGGTCATAGAGGTTGATGTTGTGCCAAGCTTCTGCATGTGATTCTATCTGCAGGGTGAGGTTGTATATATATTTTTAAAGGCAATCCACTTCTGTGCAGTGGGACCTGGAGGTTGTTGATATGCTCCAGCCTGTGTGTGATGGTACCTGGAGGTTAATGCTGCACTCCAGCTTCTGTGCAGTCCTATCCAGAGGATAATGTTTACAGTGGGTCCCAGAGGTTGCAGTTCCTTGCACGTGCATTTCAGCTTCTGTGGGATCCTATCTGTTACATGGGGCAAATGTTGTCCCTCTAGTGCTCCATCTCAGGTGGACTCATTACCTGAGGCTGATGTTGCACTGTGTGGAACAATTCTGAGTGGTTTTGGATTTGACGTGAACTGTCACATTGGCACATCTCACCCTACTGTTGTTTGGACATTGGGTTCCCAGATGATTGGTTGTGGTTGTGGATTTGCACACATGTGCCCTGTTTTGTAGATCAATATGGAAATTGTCTCCTTCCATTCTACTCAACTTGAAGGGAAGATGGCATAGACCCTCCTCCTACCACATGTTGGATGATGTATACCTGATGCTGTTTGTTTTTGGACTGGAGTTGACCTGCTGGGTACTGTTTGATGCACCCTATACACTCTGTACCATGGGGCACATCCATTTTAGCTCTTCCCATCTTCCTGTTGGTGGATGGAGATCCTACATTCATTTGTGAGGTTTGGGTTGCTCTCAAAGAATATTTTCTATATCTCTCACACTGGTCCCTTCACTGGGTAAATGTGGTATTCTAGCTACAGGTGTGAATGAAGATAAGATACTGTATGGGAAGTTATTGTTTTCCTACACTAAAAATTAATTTCTGATAGGTACTTATCTCCTCTCACCCTTTCTCCCCACTTAAAACCAATGCTTGTTTTCTGCCTAATCTCTAAGTGATAGTTAGGTAGAATCGAATAGTGTGAGCCACATGCATCAGGAGGCTGTGCCACACTCCTATTGGTGGAGGGTTGTTGCATACTGATTAACATGTCAAGATATTGTGAACCACATGGATTGTGGAGTAGGTGGGAATAGCTATATGTGTGAGAGGAGGTAAGTATCTATTGGAAATAAATTTCGGTGTAGGAAAATTATAACTTTTGTGAGATTACCACACTGTATCACAAACCTGGACTTTTTGATTATGATAAATTATCAGAGCTTTACTGTATCAGAAAATTGTATTACTGACATTCCCTAATTGTAAGTGAGGAAATTTTTATTTTTCTCCATTCTTTCCTGAAGTGGTTTTATCTGCTTTATTGTATCATGTTATGAATGCTTAAGTCTAATGTACATTTAAAAAATTAATTTCTCATCTTTGAAAAGTAAGGTATCCTTAAATTCAGGCCAGTACAGAATGTCATGAAGAAAGAAATAAGATACAGTTTCATAAAAATGACAATTGTTTAATTATACACAGTTTACAAAACAGTAAACAATACATTACAACACGTTAATATAATGGTGTGTGTGTGTGTGTGTGTGTGTGTGTGTGT